CTGCTGTATTTCATTCTTAGAACTGGTTGTGATAACCCAGACAGAATTAGAAGCTGTAACAATGTTACAATCTTATTTTGCTTCTAGAACCATGTTACAGAAAAATGTATTCGTACTCTCTACTGACTGACAAGAATCTAATCCCCTATGGAAAATAATCGGAGCATTGTAATTGTTCGAATATATAGAGGAAAACAGCAATACGTGCATACAAGTGAATTGGAACTTGTAATTTAGAAATATCTTTTTGTACACTAGAAAAGTAGGACCCCGAAGGAATTTTTCTGATTATATTTGAAAATAATGGCCAAATCCGTTGTTTCATTTTGTTAACAGATGAAAACCCTTCTTAAATCGATTGAAGCTGCCAAAAATGGAAGTAATTTTTTGCTTAGTGTAATGAAGTATAATATTTTAATATCGCATCCATATTTATTTATTTGTTAAATATCTTAAAAGTCCTTTTTATTAATTACGTCACATTTTCTAATTCAAAACTACCTTTCGTCGTTCAGCATTTTCGAATTTTCGCCATTTTATTTAAAATTAAAAAGTGATTTTTAGTGGTTTTAAGTGACTTTAAGTCGGGGTGGCATTTTACGTCCTCATTTCTACAGACTAATATAAAATATTTTACATCTAATTTTCTAAGTGTTAATTTCGAATTAAAAATTTAGCTGCCGTTACGCTTAAAAATTCCGCTGTACGTTGGTTATGTTACTCAGTTGATATTCCTTTTCAAGTTAGACAGGTTTATGGCTTATAATAGTGCATTGCGTAGAAAGTAAGTCACGAGATTTCTGTTTTGTAGAATGTCCGTTTTAAGCAAGTTTTGCGAAAATCCATTTCTTTTCGTATATTTTGTGTATAATAAATTACCTTAGTTACTGAACTACTCCATTATAAATTCTTCTAGTAACATTTTCAGAATATATTTGCTTTCTTGAGGCGAAAAAAATTGAAGATAACTTTTTGCAATTTTTATTGCCATCGAATTTTCGAACGATGGATTTATTTGCGATGGATTTTACACTCGAATGACCACAATAATATTTTTCTGCAGCTCGTCCAATCATATTCTTAAATTCTGTGGAGTGTATCGGCTTGTTTCGTGGCTAAGAACTGATGTTTTTGAATATTAAAACGCGAATTCAGTGGTTCTGTTTAATCCAGAGATAAACTTAACCAAAAATTTAATTTAATGAAAATAATCACTGTAAGGTGTAAGGTTTAGTGAGGCACGTAATGAGAAAGTCGAGGAACGAGGCTCGACCCATGAAAGATTCCTGCGGTTTCCGAATAGAACTAATTTGGTTTAAAGCTTAAGAGTGACAGCCTTTACTGCATCTACCTGCCTGTTGATTAATTTATTTAATAATTGATATATCGTCATTAGAATCAGCGCACTTTGACCTATGCAAATGTTAAATCTCCATTTATACTATTATAAGATCCAATAAAGTACAGGCGAGCAAAAGTTTGGTTTAGTTTGGTAGGATAAGAAACACTACACGTGGACGTTCTTCCAAGCGGAAATGCATCATAAGAGGACTTTCTATGTTAAAGTAGCTCCTATTTAGGTGTTAACATTAATGAATTACATAAAAATCAACGTGATAAAACACTTTAAAACGTTATTTTACTAATTAAATAATTTAAATAAAAGCGAAAATATTAAATGCGTTATGATTCTACTAATTCAAAATTTGAATTTTCGATAGTCACGCCTATCGATTACGTGTTTCCTGCTTCCAACCAATCACCAGTAAGAACGTTTACAGTTTTTAAAGGGTATTAACTGTTCGTAGATTACATAAACCAAAAAAATTGCATTATATTATTATATTAAAATTTAAGCATTTACATGATTAAACTTATGTTAAATGCTGCATAACCAGTCAATTAAGAGTATAAACATGTATTTTTATGTAATAGTAATTAAGAATTATGCTCTTTTTATACCAAGACATGTTTAACACGTTGTACTTGAAATATCATTATTATTATGGCATAAATCTATGCTCAAGGTATGCGTTAGCGTATAAATTATGCAAAAAATGCATAATTATTTTATGCTTATCTCGAATTTAGTCACTACAAACATAAACGACGACATGGGAAATTGTAATCTATGTTTAAAAGCCATGATAACAATTAAATATGGCCCGTTAAAGATTACGATGATGGCAAATTGAGGCAATTAAATTAAACGTCGAGAATTATTGTACTAATTAGCTATGAGCATTAACCATGAAAACTTAAAGGCAAAAAGATTCAAAGCTATAATTATAATATTTTCATACATTGTAGTTACCATACTTAAGCAAGAGACGAATATAACTTAGTAAAATTCCATACAAAACATAAATAATGATAACATTTATTACGAGTCATCTCATCTTTAGACGGATTTATTCTGTATTATTTTTATAAAGCATTTATGATGAAGGTAAATATGGTAATCATAATAGTGAATTATTTACGATCAGTCAGAACGTTGTGGCACATTACCACGCGTTACATCATGCATGATAAAGTTGGGTTGTTCCCATAAGTCTATGGTTATAATTATGGTAGGTATTCCATAAGTGGATTATCTATATAAATTACAAAGACAAGCCAAAAAATTCAAAATAATTGATAATTTATGCACTGTAATTTATGGTAATTTATACCATAAGCTATTCAAAATTTTAAAAAATTAATATAGTAAAATAATACAGTGAAACCTGCTAATGTGGGGACCAGCTCCAAGTGGTCACCTTATACAGGTAGTCACGTTAGCAGGTTTCACTGTATATTGAATGTTGAGAGATTTAAATATTTTCTAATTATAAATAATGCATGTAATTTTTTTGTTGAAAGTGTCACATGATTGGGATTTCAGAAATCCATGCCACATGATATCTTTATTCGGAGGTTATGCGGATAGCAACACCATTCTTCGTGTACTGGCATAAATAAAGGATTGGCACTTATGAAGGCACCCATATCGTGAGGATCATTTTTTGTCCTCATNAACACGTCCATTTATATATATATAGATAAAAATATTCACTTTTTCTTTTTATATAAAGTGTAAATAACCTAAGAAAATCGTGTAAAAGTAAAGTGGTATCGAAAAGTTTAAATATTCAATATTAAAAAATAAGGTATTTGTCTCATTGAAAACGTAACAAATGGGGCCTATCTTATTGGTTAATATTCTGATTTACCGATGACTGCGATGTTATAAAATCTAGCGACGAGAGTTGCTTAACTTTTCCGGCCGTTTTGAATTTTTTAAAATATAAAACCTTTATACTATTTAGCAAAAATAAAATTGTGTGTGGCGCCATCTGTTATCAGATATTGTTATAAAACTTTTTATATTTTTATTACTATAAAATGGCAAAAAAAAAACTTAATTTTGAGGGTAGAAATGAGTTTTATAAAAGAATGAAAATGTTAATAGCGAATAACATATTCATTAAGTCCTCTCATGATACATGATCTCGACCTTTCACCACCAAAATTTAATAGCATCAATGCCTCTCATATGAAGTCTGCTGTTCTTTTATGTAATTTTAATTGAGTTTGTAAGATGATTTTTCTTCAAAAGTACAATTAATTTCCTGATGACCTATTGGTTATCATCATAAAATTACCAAGTTCTAACTTACATCATCATCATTTCGTCTTGTTTTTAATATATTATCACCATTAAAATCATTTTTATCTTATCATCTTCAATATTAATAACAGTATATCATCATCATTATCATTATCGTAAATCATTATAACAGCATGCTTAGATTGATACTTAAGTCTACCACGTTGTAATTCGCATCGTCATAATTTCTCCCAGTTCTTTAACACGTTATCATCATTAAAAAACTATTATAATTCATCATCATGGCCATCATCATTAATAAAAATCCGATATTCGCCAAGCTCGACATTCAAATTCGAGTTCTATTATCTTCAATTGATTTCTACTCCGGCAATTAACTGAATAATCGAACTTCTTCTTTTTTTTTTAATATAATCTAAATTCGTAATTAATTTTATTTAGTGAAATATATAAATTTTATTCACTTATCGTTTGCAACTTCATTAATTAATTTTCGCCATTAATTTGCACGATAATTTTGTTAAAGATGCACGCTACGCTTGCTCTTTATACAATAATCATTTTAAGAGAACAAACAACTTTACACCTTAATGATTTTAAGTAAATTAATTTAATTGTATTTTCTGCGATTTAAAAATTAGTAAACTAACAATATTTAACTTACTTACTTCAATATTTTCGCCATTTTTAGAGCCCTAAACGTCATTAAACTCCCACGTGAATTCTAGAAGATGGCGAAGTTTCGTTCGTCTTCTCTCGTTTAAATCAGTTTTACTGAATATTAAATTGTAATAAGTTGAATGTAATTAATTAAATCATTAAATATGATGATTTTTTTCGATTATAAATGTAATTAACTTAATTAAAATTACTATTCGTGTACTATTTTCTTAACTAAATTAACGCTGTTTCAATGGGTGTATTAGTGATACGAAGTTTATGAAATAAACTAAAGGGAAACTTTTAACAACGGCCACCTCCTTATAACGGCCATTTTCTGTGTTTCCTCCTGTGCCGTTGTTTAGAGGTTCGAGCTATATTTACAAATTTCTGGTTTTAAACACGCGTGTTTAAACGCCTTCTGCATAAAAAAAATTCGCAGGAAAGTTTGTTTGTCGCACCAAAATTAATTAATTTAATTACTCTTTTTACTTTTATTAATTATCTATTTTAATTAATAAAAAATAAATTTGACCTTTAGAGGGTTCGGATCCGATGAAGGATGTAAACAAAAATAAAAGAAATCGATACCAAAAACGTGTAATTATCTCTGTCATTAATCTATGTAAACATTGAAAAAACTGGATTAAAATACTAGCACGAACCCACGACTTATTGTTAACGAGATAAGAAAACGAAACGAAACCGCGGTTTTNAGGAAGCAATACCTTTTGTCAACAAGTACACTCAATGATTCTTCTTTCGTTAAGTAACTTCTTAATTGGTTCAAAGTGATGGAAAGCTCTTTAGGTACAGTCACTTGACCCATATATTTTACAGCTGTTCTATCTCTGTTTGCCTGACACACGAGATATTTTGTTGTTTCACTCTTTCTGTCTACAAATATAATTATTTTTACAATTATTCTTATATTGTTGTATTGTTATTGTATTAGTATTATATTCAATTATTATTAAATATGCTATTGTTTAAAGAACAAGGTCATCAAATTAGGGAATAAAACGTAAAAAAAAACAAGAGAAAGATCCTTTTGCTGGTGATAAAGAGTGGTGCCATCTATTAGCTAGAAATTAAGCTGTGTCGTAACAGCTACGCGTGCCAGCACGTCACAGCATCACGCGCGTAGATTTGCGATACATTCTACGCGCTGCTCGCGTAGAACGCATCGCATAAGTTTAATATATTAAAATATCTTCGTCTCTTCTCCAACTTTAATTCACCACTCTTATCAATTATGTATTACATAATAATCAATATTAAAGCTATAGAAAGGTGGAGGGATGAAAACATTTCTTTCATTCTTACCATTATTGCCAACCCAAACAACATTCTGCTTGTTGATTTTGTATGCTTTATTGGAATAATTATTACTAAAATAAAGTTATAAAAGAACATTTTAGACATACAACTCGACCCTTCTATAGAAAAATAATTAAACGATTAATTTGAAAATGGGGTGGTACCAACTTACTTGGAAGTAATTCTTTCGCCAGACATTACCCAATTATTTCTTTTTATATCTTCTTCTCTCCTTTTATTCTTCATACAGGAACACGAAACTAAGTTACTGTTTTTGATTGGAATTTCCTCCAAGCTGTCGTAATTTTGTTCCACCGTGAACACGTTGTAACCAATGTCTTTGTGCGGGATCAAAGGGGAATCAATGGCTCGTCTCCACCTGTTTTCCAAGAATTTCTCTTGCTTTAATTTCTGTCTTCTTCTCGATTCGTTTTCTAGAAGTTCGATTTTGTACCCTTTTTGACTTTTATAATAATTCCTTAAGAGTCTAGCGTGTTGTTTTGGAACGGCGCATAGTTGCCTCGCGTCGCATCGCTTCGTAAAAAAACCATTCAGACTAATAACAATAATACATTTGCTTTATTATATCCACTAATAATACAAAATACGTCGCGATTTATTCTATATTTTAAATATTTCCTTAGTTTTTATTAAAGGAAACTTATTTTAATACTTTGTTTGCGTTAGTTAGGAAGCGACGCGACTTCGCGCCGAAGCGCAATATAACACGTTAGATGTTTATTATATAATACTTACTGCTTTTGTTCCTGCAGTAGCAATATATCACCACAGCTATAAACAACATAACAAGTGCCACATTTATAATAATTGCAGCGATCCAAGCAACTGGTTCGGATTTTTCTTCAGATCCTGGACGATCATCGTGACTATCGCTCATCTCATAAATCTAAATAAAAATATAAAATAAGTTAATGTATTTGTGTATTAAAAAGTATGTTAAATTATCCTTTACATAATAAAATAATATAAATTTTATGTACTTTCTAAAAAAGCCGCATATATATTTTTTTTCTTTGCGAGTCGCGTCGTTGTCGAGAGTTTCTAGTACTATTATCTGAGCATATATCCCGTTTATAAATATACTTAGTGCTTAAATTAGTATTAAACTGCATAAAGAACAGCAGAAACTCCCCATTAGCCCTGAATTGACTTACTCTCCATTGCTCTGAATTAGCTGACAACACTTTGTATTATGTTTATTGCTTACATTAGTGTTAAGCAGTGTTGTCAGTAATAAAATAGGGAGTTTCTAATGATGCTGTTTTCTGTCTATTTTATAAATATATTTAGTAATTAAATGAGTATAAACTGGATAAATAGCACTACAAATTCACCATTTTACTCCTGATAACACTGCTTAACACTAATGTAAACACTAGGCGTAATTATAAACATTGTTTTCAAAGTAAAATGGGAAGTTACTAGTGTTCTTTGCCCAGTTTAACACTAATTTAAGTACTGAATATATTTATAAACCGGATAAATACTCATATAATTGCGCTAAAAGTTCCCCATTCTGTGAGTCTATCGACTTAATTAATATTATTAGAAATTAAATAAAAACCTAATATAATTTATAAAGATTTTTACTGGTTAATTGAATATAAATTCCCAACAACTTTCGAATAATATCGATTCAAAGTTGATCAAAGTGACTAAAATAAAACCTTGACGTGCAAATCTTATAAAGAAATCTAAAAAGTTCCTAGAAAATACTTTATTTCCTTTCTAAAACAAAAAAAAATTAGAAAATAAAATTAATTTTTTAGAATTTATATTCGTGTTTTATTCACTTTAATATATTCTTTACACGTCGCAAAATAAAAAATTAACTAGAATTTTTCGTGATTTTTGTAGATAAAGGACTGAATTTATTAGTTTATTAATTTATTTTTAATTTATTAATAGTTTATACTAAAAGACATTGCTGTAAACTTATCAAAATTACATCAAATATATTTATAAATATTAAAAACATGCTTAATTAGTTTATCAATAACACAAAAAGTCAAATTATCTTTGTTTATAGGCATAGAGTCGCATCGCATTCGCCGCGCGGAGAACACGACGAATCTTCTCTCACTTCTTAATAATATTTAGAATTTTATAATAATTTATCTCTTTTAAATAAATCGATAATGAGAAATTTAATCAATAACTGAAGAGTTTATAATAATTTACCTGCTTCCATTATATCGTGGATAAATAATCTGCGGTCGCTTCGCGTTAGCGCGCGTTACAAGCGACGCGACTGTATATAACTTAATAACGAATTTAATCATAATTTAAGTTCCTTCAATTGAATAATTTTAAAATTTAGCACACATAATCTTATAAGTATGAAAATTATTTTGACATATAAATTATATTTATATGTTAAATCATTTATTAATTATAATAAAATTTGTAAAAAATGATAGCAGCATGAAAGAACGTGAATTTATACTCAAAACTCCTTAAAAATAATTTTAAAAAAATAAACAAATTGTAATTTAATTAAAACTTTAAATAATGTTTAAAGTATTTTATCAATTAATAGTGAAAAAATATATAAATTAATATATTTAAACACAATTATTGTATAGACATAACACATCAAATAAAAAGAAACGGGTTTAAATGAATGTTAAACTACTCCTTTAGTAACAAAAGTCAACATTTTTCCAATTTTTCGTTTACATAGAACAGTTTCCATGGCTACAAGTCAAAGATAAAAGGTTCAATGTTGCTATTATTCTTAGAAATGCCCAATTTACTAAATGTAAAGAATCAAGAACATAGAATTGAGCAAGAAAAAACCCAATTTTCTTAATTTATCTACATTTAATTAATCATTTCATTACTAAATTTATAAAATTTTCCTANACCTTTTCTTGTTAACAGAGGCGTGGGTTCGGACTAGAATTTTTATTGATTTTTTTCGAATGTTTTTTTTTACCGAATAGGAACCGAACCCACGTCTTTTATTGTTATTTAAGAACGAGCGTTCAAATCGGATTCGTATCCGATCCCATCTAAAAAATACTTTACAGTGTGTTTGGACATGATTATGAGTTGAATCGATTTCTTATATAACAATGAAGACGGGGGTTCGGTTCCTAATTAATAAATATTTTGTAAACTAGAAAAAAAATAAAACGTATGATAAAAAGAAAAACATGTGGGTTCGGTTCCTGTTTAAAGAAAAAAAAACATTTAAAATTATTAAAAAAAGGTTTCTTTGGAACAAGAACTGAACTCACGTTCTGAGATAACAACAAAAGATATGGGTTCGGATTGTTATTGGGCTACATTCCGGCTAATTAATTAATTAATATATTAAGCAATTTGGCTATAGTTAAGAGATTAAACTGTCATCTATTTTTTAAATTTTTAATAATTAGAAACGAATTAATTTAAAAACAGATGGCGCATAAGTGCCTACCTACTGCCAAATTGCTTAATATCTTATTAATTAATTAGCTCAAATGTAGCCCAATAAGAATTCGGCTTTAACGAGTTTTTTTTCGTATTTGTTAATTAATTATTTTATTTTTTAAATATTTTTGACATTTTTAGCATTATTAAAAACTACTTTTTAGAAAATAATAATAATAATAATAATATTTATATCGATTTAAATATATTTTATTGTTATTTTATGTTTACTTTGCTATTGAAGCTTAATATATTTGCTTTTGTGAATATCATAAGAGTTATATTTTTCTGTATTTTTATATTAAAAGATGTAAAAAATCGCTTAAAATATTTTTAAATTTATGTAAATATGAACTGAATAATTTAATTTGAAAAACACGTGATTCGTTATTTTTATTTTGTCGTTTCGGGCGTGTCTGCCTGTCTGCGTGTCTGTCTGTAATGGTGAGAATTATATTAAGAATTTTGGCGCTTTGTTTTGTTTTAAAATATTATAATCTTGAATTGTTAAAAGATTATAATTTTAAACTTATTTAAATTAAAATTTTGTGTAAATTTCAGGATTTTAGAAAAGTTTTTTTCATGAAAATGATTACTTTTTTTTTCCGAAATTTATAACATTTTATGGAGGTTCCTGGCTATAGTCTACTACTCTTTAGGGTCCGAATTGAGTCTGGGCCTGTCTCTAAATTCGTAGAGTAATGGACCTTGCATACCATTATTTGACCATACCCATTGTTGTTCTGATCGAACCATAATGTGCAAGCTGAAGAAAATTTCATCATGCATGCAATGAGGAAAGAGCTAAAGAATTCCTTGCCTCGCTTAAAACATACCAAAAAACACTAAAAACTTATTTCTTATATGATACATTGCTCTGCAATTTGAAAAAAACTGTAGACCAATAAATTCGTCTGTTGTCTGTCTGTCTTTCCTTAAAACACGTTGGAAGGCCGAACGAGTTCCGGACCTTTAGAGCTGGCTCCCAATTAGAAAGAATTCTATGAATAAAAATTTGAATTTGAATTTAATAAGTGTTCGTCACGCCGTCTGGTTGTAAATATGCAAACTAAAAATTTATTTTTGAACAAAGTAATTATTACGTAACAATTACACAAATTATAAAATCACTCAACTATTACGTCGCAATTGTTACGTAATAATTTAATAAACTTTTAGGAAATTGAGTCTTTTGTAGAAGCGGTATAAATTTCGTCAATTGTTATGTAATAATGCTATATATTTCTTACTGTTACGTAACAACAATATAAAATGTTTTTGTAATAATGCAGTACATTTGATCACTGTTACATAACAATGAAAAATAGTTTTATTACGTAATAATTCAGTAAGAATAAAGTTTAAAAATTCGAATTTAGCGTAAGAATAGTGATAAAAACGACTCTATTAAACCATTAACTCGGCGAGAATTACAAAATTTAGATATTAAAAGACATTTTGAATCGATAAAACTCTATCTCGAAGCGAGCAGACAAACAGACAGACTGAATGTTAATTTTAAACGCAAAGTTTTCAAATTATTAAACGTTTGTTTCAATTTGATTTACAGCGTTGTAAAGTAGAAATTCGTCCGGAAATTTGATCGATTTTACAATTATTTTTAATATATTATTTTTAAGATTCATTAAATCAATTTTTATCCTATCAAACTACATTATTTTTGATGTGACAAGTTGATAAAATCTATTTAAATCGCACTTGGGAAAATTATCATCAATGTTAAATCTAATTAAATTAAACCTAATTAAATTAGGATCGCGCTGGTTTTTTTCCAGGAGTAATTTTAATTTTTAATGCCGTTGAATGAAAGTAGTAGAAAGTTTATTTAATTAATAATAATAAGAATTTGTTATCAAGAATAATAATAAATAGTTTATTTAATTTATTCTCATTTCTGTTTTTTTTTTCTTCCTTTATCAGAAGACTAACAAGAGAAGGGAGGAAAGAATTAAATAAAATTTCAAAAAAAAAAATGGTGTTAAATTATCAAAAAGTTTTACTTTAAAAGCTTTCTTGCAGTACATTAGTGATAAAACTAATCGATAAAGCTTTTTTATACATAAAAAATGTCAAAAAAATTACAAAATTCTATCTACAACCCGAGGGTGTGAAGGTTCTTTCAATAAAGTAAGTTGAATTTATGTTAAAATAACGTCTTCATTCACAACAAAAAAGATCTAAAACATCTGTTACTTCATTTATACTCTTTAAAGAATTTGATCCATTTGACAAATTTTCAAAAAATTGTTCCTCGACCCCTCCACTGGATAAAATTGCCTAGTAAAATTTGACTTTGATAAACCAATTTTGCCTGATTCACACGGAAAAGTATTGATTTTTTACTATTATTTAACGAATTATAATTATTTAATATGAAAAATATTACATTAAAAAGTTTCCAAATTTACTTATCTCCCATCAGGGTGGCTCAAAAGTCTGTTAACCATTTCAAAACAAATTGCTGTCGTATTCAATACTTTATGTTCGACTCTTGGCAGCTTGTCGAATTGCTTGCAAAATGCATGATTAACTAACTTTTGGGCCATACTGTATACTGA